GCTCAGGCATTCATAGCAGAAATCAATGCCTCCAGTGTAGTCATTGGGTCCATACTCTCTCAGAGGCATGGTCCGCAGTAGATGTTGCACCCCTGTGCCTACTACTCCCAAAAACTCGCCACTGCCAAATGGAATTATGAGATATTAGATAAGGAAATACTTGCAATTAAATCAGCCTTTAAAGAGTGGTGTCATAACCTCAAGGGATCCCGCCACCCAGGGCAAGTCTTTGATGACCATAAGAACCCTGATTATCTGTGGAATGCTCAAGCCTTGAGCCAAAGACAACTCAGGTGGACATTATCCTTCTCTCAATTGAATTTTGTCATCACCTATTGCCCAGGAACCAGGAATAGGAAAGCAGACACCCTATTCTGAAAGGGGGCATACTATCAAGAGGTCAAGGACCCTAACCAAGAATGACCCTATCTCTTAATCGCTCACAACTTCCTTAGTGCCAAGATTAACCAAGACCACCTTGATCTTATCTGATCTGCTTCGAAGGAAGACCCATTTACTTAGCCTGAGTAAGCGAGAGCCAGAATCAAAATGCAATGCTCCACACAGGGTGGGATCATCTACCTTGATGGATGCATATACACTCCAGCCCCCTCCCTCCCCACAGCTAGAAGAGCTCCTTCTCTGCCATGACACTCCTTTGGCAGGACAACTTGGACATCTGAAGATTTCTGCATGGCTTTCCCTTTCTTCTGGTGGCCCTGTACATGAGCCAAAGTCCAGGGCTAGGATAACTCTTGTGACCAGTGTGCTCACTCCAAGATGCCCTGTGCTAAGCCCCTCAATGCCTAGTATCCACGGAGACTCAGGCTAGACACTGGGTCTCAATCACCATGGACTTCATCGTGGAACTCCCTGACTCCGGTGGTCACACAGTGGTCTTTACTGTTGTAGACCAACTGACCAAAATTGTGCACTTCATCCCCTGTAATAACCTGCCCCCTTCTGAAACCATGCTGCGACTCCTAGTGGTTCATTTGTCTGACTTCATGGGCTTCCAAACATATCCCCTTGAACCAAGGCCTCCAGTTTGTCTCATGCTTTTGCTGTGAGGTGGTCCTGCTAATGGACGTTTGTACTTTTACCTCCTCTCTGTACCATCCCCACACAGATGGGCAGATGGAGAGGGTGAACCAAGTGTTAGAGAAATACCTATGGTGCTTTGTCAGTTACCATTAAGATAACTGGTTTTCCCTCCTTCCTTATGCCAAGTTCTCACACAACAACACTGACTATGCCTCCATAGGGCGGAGTCCCCTATTTGAAAACTGTGGTTTTCAGCTGGCCTTGCTAGCCACCTCTCCAAACCCAGCAACTGCTGACTGGATCCAACAAATTCACCATATACCAGAGGAGCTTAAGGACCACCTAGAAGACACAAAAACAGACAAGTAATATGCAGACTGTCAATACCAAGAATGCCCAGCTATCATGGTTGGTCATATTGTCTGGCTTGCTGCAAAACTCTTCCATACAACAGACCATCCTGCAAATTAGACAACCAGTTCCGTGGGCCCTTCCAGATTTGTCAGCAAATGAACCCCGTCACATTCAAACTGCAGCTCTCTCAATCATTCTGTTTTCAAGATATCCCTCCTGAAGCCTTACCCAGAGGATCCCTTTCCTGGTGAGTCCCAACAGCCACCCCCACCAGTCCAGGTCCAAGGGAATGAGGAATATATAGTCCATGCTATCCTGGACTCTAAACTATAGAGGGGGAGATTGTACTATCTCATTGATTGACAGGGGTAGGGTCCTAAAGAATGCTCCTTGGAACCCGTTGCCCATGCTCATGCCTCTGACCTAGTAAAAGGATTTCATCAAGACCACTTGGATAAATGAGGCCCAGCATCCACTCAGCGGAAGAGCAACCCTGAAGGTGGTGGATAATATGAGGATGCGGGGACTAGAACCCAGGTCTGCAAAGTCTGGGACGTCTGATATTCCCACAGTGCCACTGGGAAGCCAGGCAGGACTGTACCTAGGGAGCACTGTGGAGAATAGTCACCACAGGAAGTACCGCCCAAGAAAGCCAGAGTGACAGCACCCTGCGTCCCTCTGATTGGCCAACCACGCTATTTAACCCTGGATGGTGACCCAGGAAGTCGTCTGGGCAATGACACAGACTTTGGGAGACTTGTGACTCCAGACCTCACCTTGTGGTCTGGTCTCTGATCCCAGCCTGACCCTGACTCTGGACTCCTGACTCTAGCTTGGTGCTGTCTCTGGTCTCAGGTCTCTGACTCTGGCCTGACTGTGACCCTGATTCTAGCCTGGTACTACCTCTGATCTCCAGTCCCCAACCCAGCCTGACTTTTACCTTGACTCTTGCTTACTGAACCCAGCTCTAGCAATTCTGCCAACCCTCCCCTCCGACTACTGCCCCTGATGTTTGGACCCCACCTAGCTAGGTCAGACCCCTACACCCCAATCCCCTACTGTGGCACACTTTTCTCTGAGTCCCCCTGGGACCATGCCTGGTCACTTATGGCTGTTATGTCTCTCCGCCTTTTTGAAACAGTAGCAGCATCAGCCCCGGTGCTCTGTCCAGAATTCCAGTCTGTCTATTTAAAATCTTTCCTTCTGAAGCATCATCCGTTTGAGAAAACAATTCTTCTCTTTCCATTCAAAAAAAAATCTAGCAGCTGTGTGATCTTCCTAGTACAGAAGGGGCTGCCTTTATGAAGTGGGTGGGGGGGAGTGATTTTTTTTCGATTCACACTGTAATGCTTCTTGAGATCCTTCTGGATGAAAGACGCTATGAACAGAAAGCTTTATTTACAACATCAACACTACAAACCCTGTAGTATATCTAATTTAACTGTACAGCTCTGATGGCTGAAAAGTGGATGGGACCCAGGAAGAAATTTGTAGAATCTAACAAATGGGATACTTCCAAATTCCCCTGTGTGCCTCTCAGTCTATATGTATGCTGTATAGTTGTGGGTGTTTGTGTGTGTGAATAGCTGTTAAATGTACACATAAAATCAAAGAGCAAGAAAAATAGAGATTTGACCTTGCAGCAGCCGAAGATGATACTCAAGTATATTACTTTGTGTTCTGCTATCGTTATCGCTAATGAGCTTATTCATTGCAAGGCCATATATTGCTGTGTTTGCTTGCATTTTCCGAACTACCGTATGCCCCCAGATATGTGTGTCTTGTAGGGAGAAAAAGTCTTAATCCATCTGCCAAGTCTGGCTGAGTTTTAGGAATTAGTTAAACAACAATAAACAAACTGTTATAGTTAATAAACTCAGATCAATGTAATCTGGTAGCAGTTTACATGGAAATAGAATCAATTCCTCTTCCAGTGGGAAGGTGAGCATAGACACTCAAAATTCCAGTCGGAAGATCTTCACACATTCACCACTTAGCTGTCTCTCCTGAGGGATTTTCTCTTTGTCTCCATGGCATGTGGATTGTGGGGTCTCTCTCTCATTATTGTAAATTAAGGATGCCAGAAAATGTGAATTGTAAGCCGGAAGCTATGGCATCATCATGTATGATATACAAAAAAACCCCAAAATCAATACCATTAGCCCTTCCAGCACCTCTTTTGGTTGTATCCCCCGTTTTGGGTCCCTTGCCATTTTGGGTCTCGCCACACTTGGTCTGTAATAGGAACTGTATCTCTGCCAGAAGTGAAAGAATTAACTATTTGAATGTGTATGTGTGTGTATGTGTCCGCGCGTACAGACAAAAACATATGTGCATATATGACTCTTAATGGACTTAGGGTCAATATTAGCGGTAATATAGTGCCCAAGAGATAAAATAGCTATTGAGAGTGTCATATCTTGCCTGAAGTTTGTATATAGACGTGTATAATCAAAAGAACTGCTTTTACCCTTGGGCAGTTTTTACCACATTCTTCTTGCTCTTTAGTAATAGTCCAAGCTTGTATTATTTACCCCTTGAATTTATGTGTATTGAAACTTTCTCTGGGCATGTATCCTTCAGCACAGGAAGATTTATACATAGAGAAAACAAAACACGAGTGTGATGTATTAAAATAGGGTGACAATCTCTCTGAGTAGCCCTGAACCCTTGTCTTCCTGGCAGAGACAGACTGTTGGTCATTTCCTCTAGGGTGGTAGACACTGAAAGAAGCTCTGGGCTCCCCTTTCAATGGGGAACCCGCCAGCTACTCCAGGGAAGGCATGGAACAGCTGTGGCTCATATTGTCCATGCTTTCAGGGTGTCCATGTTGTAAGTTGTATGTAGATTATTGCTCTCCAGTGTGTGCTACATCTCTTCAGTTGGACAATGGCACACATCTAATTTTATATCAGTCCTTTAAAACATTTAATTAACCTAGGCCTTGGCTACACTTACCCGCTAGTTCAGCGGCTGGCAATCGAACTTCTGGGTTCGACTTATCGCGTCTAGTCTGGACGCGATAAGTCGAACCCGGAAGTGCTCGCCGTCGACTGCGGTACTCCAGCTCGGCGAGAGGAGTACCGCGGAGTCGACGGGGGAGCCTGCCTGCCGAGTGTGGACCAAGGTAAGTTCGAACA